AGTAGCTTCTTGTTACTACTAGCTTCTTGTTACTACTAGTAAGGCACCTGTTACTACTAGCGTGGCACTTGTTTCGACAAGATTCTTGGACATAAAGCCGATCTTTCCCGACGCCGCCTGATGCCATCGGTGATCAAAGGCTCCTTGTTCACCATGGCTGGACAGCCTGGGGGGAGAAGTGGACCCTGCCCAAAGCCTTCGGCCCTGGCCTATACCCCACAGCTGTAGGATATTGTAGGATGAAGACGGTCAAGAACTGTCGAATCAAAATGTCCATGTGCAAGGCCCAAACTGAAGCTCGCAGGAAATGGCTCGAAAAAGAGCTTCGCTTCAACGGATGCACAGCCAACTTCATCTCAAAGCCAAACCCTCGCCCTCATCCCATCACCCACAAGCACAAAAAAGTAAACAAACCTTATTGAACTCAGCCAGCTGCATTGACACTGTTGCAGGTGACCCACACTGGTCCGACCCGCCGACTGCGGCGCTTGACCGTCGCGCCTTGGAGCTCGTCCATGGGACTGTTGCAACCATCCTGGGAGCACGACTTCAAGACCTGGCACCAAACGGAGAACTGGACCGGACCAGCTCGGAGCTCGGGCGGATATTCCCGGAACATGCGGTCTGCCGATCAATGTATTGGGCGACTGGGCCGTTGGGCGGTTCTGCGTGGCTTCGACTGAGCTGGGTGAGTCGGGTTGGCTTGAAAATGGGTAAAGCCGAGGATTGCTATCTACTTCGCTTGTCCGATTTCTGGGAGCCACCAAACTTCTGATTGGTCCGTTTCATCCATTGTCCAGCCACAGCAACTCCGCTCTCTTCAAGCCACACCCGCGTGACCGACCCGCCTGAGCGTTGGAGATCCGCGTGAAGGCGCTGGAGCTCAAGTTTCTTTCCAGCTCCTGGCGCTGCAACAGCGGTGTTGGTCGCTGCAGGGATTCAGTGCTGTTGGTTTCTGTGCAAACACAGCTTTGGGATGCTGTACTTTTGAGCCTGACCTACAGTGCAGAGTTCATAACACAAAATTTGAAAATTTGTGATTTCTTCGCAAGTGCACGTGTACGGGACCATTGACTAAGCGAAATGGTCCAAGTGGTGGAAAACGAGTGACTAGCTGGGTTTGGTGGAATGATATCCCCCTTGTGGAGGTCTCTGGGGTGAGGGATTTGATTTTATAAAGAAAAATCATTTATAAAATGGAATCCCTCAGGCTGCTGCTTTATAAACTGAGAACCCGACCTTTATATAATGGCGAGACAACATACAAGAGCAAAAAACATGAAAATCCGCAGACGCCTTTTCTCTCTTTATGGACTGGTTGTCCATGAACCGGTGATCATTTTGATCCGAAAATGGTCCATGTTTATGGAATGCTCAACAAACATCTTGCTGTGGTTCTGTCCACTATACGCACTATAAGTCTAAAGCCATGGGAGCCTGCATGGGACTATCACACAAAAATGAGCCATTTATGGTATAGCAATATAGTGGCTATAGACTCCATGTAGGCAAATCCTATACAGGACTAGTTTCTGTTAACTCTTTTTGAAGAAGAAGAATTCACTCAAAACATATCAAAAGAATGAAAGTCAACTAATTTCTAAACAAGGGAGCAACTGTGCAATTTATATAAGACAAGTGATAGCAACCGAATCAAAACATGTCCATCCATTTCCCATCACTTCCCCTGCCAAAGACAATGCACAACTTGAATGTGGCACATGGTGAATGCTCAGGTTTTGATCAGCACACAAAATCATGTCAACATGTTCAATGAACATCAATGAACATATTTATGTGTGCAGTGTTTTTCCTTTTGGCATTGTTGTGTTTCACTTGTTTTTGCTTGCAAGTTTGTTGAGATGATTGCATTCGGTTGCTATCACTTGTCTGAAATTGCACAGTTGCTTCTATGTTTTAAAAATATACAGTTGACGTTCATTCTTTTGAGATGTTTTGAGTGTGATTCTTCTTCAAACAGAATTCACAGAAACTAGTCCTGCATAGGATTTACCTACAGGGAGCCTATAGCCACTATACGGCTATACCATAAATGGCTCATTATGGTGTGATAGGCCCATGCAAACCCAGGTATGTACTAGAAACCTTGGTTGTAGAGCCACTATTGTAAGGGAGCTATAGAAACAGCCGTTAAGCTGCGAATTCTTTTTGGGCCGCGAGCTGCGAAGGTAGGTGCAATGACATCCTATACATATGTGCATGGTAAAAGTGTACATATTACATGGAGTGAAAATACACCCCCCTCAGCTAAGGTAGCTTTGCCACCGAAGCTGGACGCGGAAAGTGCACGAGGGCTTGTGCAGGGCACGACAGTGATGTCGGCTCATCGCATGGCGGCATACGTGGATGCTAGCAATCCACTGCCAACGTGGCCCTGTACGTGCATTTTAGTTATTCGCTCCCCGCCGCCAAAAGGACATTGAAAGATTGGACTTGGGAGGAAAACCGCATACATATTGACAATGGATGTCATGCAATGAATTATGCTCGCTCAGGCAAAAGTGTTGAGACTTGGCTCAATTATCGCCGATGCCACCAGGTCTGACTCGAGCTCCAGTCCCACGAGCGGCGGTCCCATTGCCGCTGCTCGCCCCACTCGCTCCAGTTCCATGAGCTCCATCCCCACGAGGACGACGCTGATCCGGATGCACGTGGGCTCACCGGTGAGGGTGGCGGAGCTCTGTTTGCTTTCGATGCGGGGCTTCCGGCTTCACCAGTGGAGGCCTTGCGCTTGCCTTTGGCTTGGCGCTGCTCTTGAGTCTGCTTGTTGACAACATCACGCCGTGCGGCGGAGAGGCTGTCGTGACAAAGACGGTTGATCATCTCCCTTGCGCCATCTTGATGCATTCGATGCACGCCATTCCAAGCCAAAAGGCCACGATGGGCATCAGGTGAGCTGAGGTACTCAACGTACTCGCGCAGGGAAAGAAAGGAAAAATTTTCTCATTCAAACTTTTTTCTCGTGATATTCAAACTTTTTTGAATGCTTGTTAAGCTGGCTGAACTAAAGATTTTTCTTTTTTCAAAACTAGTGACTAGCACATTTGCATTCAAGTTTGCTGGTAGCAGCGCTGAATTTCTATGCATTTGCCATCAATTCCACACTGGTAGCATTATTGGTCATTGGTTGGTGTAGTTTTTAAAACTCGGGTTTTGTATTGGCAGGGCGCCTAACCAGGTATTTTGTATTGGCAGGGCGCCTAACCAGGTAGTAGGCGGACTCCCAGGAAAAACACAAGTGTTTCTACACTTTTGACACCACAAAATTACAGAAAATTCATCGTGTTTCTGTTCAGCTGTTTGGCTTGTTGAGCCCATCCGGTCGCTGAAGCACAGCCATGGCACGAAAGAGAGGAAGACCTCCGAAGCGACGCCCCCCAAAGTACCGATTGGGTAAGGCATGCGCTTTGCCAGGCCCTCTCTGGGACTTGTGGTTGAAACATGTCTTGGACAAAGGGCCAACATGGCTGTATGTTTGCCTGCTGTTGACCCATGTCTTGTGCTGCAGGGTGACAGAGGTATTGAGGCTGAGAAAAAGGGATATCAATTTCAAGCGCAGCACTGTGTTTGTTGGACCACTGAAAAAGGGCCGTCCAATGGCCAAACATGTCATGAAACCAGCTATGGCCAAACTCCGTTCTCTTCGCGATCAAGGAGTGGCAAGGCGGAGGACAAAAAACAAAGGGATGTGGGGCGCCATCAAAGAAATGGATAGGTGGCAGATCCCAGTCCACGCTGATGACTTTCTCTTCCCCTCATCGCGGAGTGACTGTGAGACACCGCACATGAACAAGAACACTGTGTGCAAGGCAATCGACAGGATTCGAAGCTCCTTTGACCCGCCTATGACTATCCAAACCAAAACTATCCGCAGCCATAGTGGGCGACACCGGATGGTGAATGATTTGAAGCGGTGTGGTGTCCCAGAAGGCACAGCCATGCACTTCGCCCGGATCGTCGATCGCAGGACCTAATGGTAATCTTGTGTCTATTTTTCTTTGCATGAGCTTTTAAACAGCAGAGGTTGCATTGCAGCACCAGACTTGGCAGGACATTTCTGGGATATGGCGCTTTGGATGATGAACAGACCGGACAAGCGCTGGAGAGCAACAGCAAGCTTACCAAAACGATGGCAGAGCTTTATGGGCCACCTGCCAAAAAGAAAAAGGCAAATAGTGGTGTGGTGGCACCCATTGAACTGAACGTGCGCGGAGCTGCTACGTTTCACCTCTTTGCATGAACATGGCCACTGACTGACCAGCGATCTCTGCGCAAAACACTATTACTATATAAATATGTCTATATCTAAATACAGATGCGTGGCAAAGCTTACCCGTGCAGCTACCTGGGCTTGCGTATGGACCACCCACAGAAATGGGAGTCCCTCTATGACAATACCCAGATGCTGACGGATGGCTGTGGTGACATATTACGTTGGACAACTACTATGTTATTTGAATTATAAACATTTGAATCATAAACACTGGTTGAAGGCTGTATGTTACTTTGGAAGCTTGAGGGATACCAAAAAATCTACAAACCAAATCGACTGTCATGATATTGGGGGTGTCTTAACTTAGTGGTTCAATGATATGCGCTCGCATTTCTTGACACCTTATGGCTTCCATAAGGTATACACGTTTAATTTGTAGAGATTATTCAATATGTCTTTAAATTCCAAGTATCTTTATGGGAGTTTTAGGGTTTAGGGTTTTGTGATATTTAACCTTTGTGGGTTTAGGGTCATCGGACAACTATTTTATTTAAGCGGGTTGCCTTAAATATTTGGGCTTGCAGTTGTTCACCGAAGCGCCAAGCCAAATATACCTTTTTCCAAGCAGATTCATCTGTGCGTCAGCTTTCACTGGAAAAAAGGCCGGTTATGGCCATCAACATGGCGGTGAAAAGTTCTTTCAGCGCTGCCACTTACCAAACCCTCACGAGTGTTGGTCACCAACAATGACCTCCACATCAGCTGTCAATCCCAGCATTCTCATCCGCTTTCGCAGCGGCGGTGAGTTCTACTGCTGACTTGGCTGGGACACGCAACGGAACCTTGGTCATAACCATGGGCCTGACTGGCGTCAGGCCTTTCCCCGCCGTTGCGCTCCACTTCACTGCCCAAATGACATGGGAGCTTGGCGTGTCCCAGTCGCTCGCTTTCAAGCAGCCTGCCAAATGGTGCATGGCCACTTTGGCAACTCCATCTCCTTCAGCTTTGCTCGGCACATCCTCTCCCCTGAAACAGATGTGCACCTCAAGTTCCAGAGTGAAAAACCCTGGTTTGTCTGGCAGTGGTTTGTCGTGCAGTTTGTGGTACTGCACACCTGCCTCAGGGTGGGTCTTGCGTCGTTCTGCAAAGAGCTGTGACAAAGTGAGTGGCTTGCCATTCACTGCCACCACAGACTCGGCATCTTGCAAAGTAAAGAGCACATCGGCATCCGTCATTTCAGTGATTTCTTCACCACTTGACTTTTTGCTCTTCTTTGCAGGCGCTTGACCGGCACTATCGCGTTTGTACAGCCAAAATTTGCCCTTGTACCACCCAGCGATGATAGTCCCAGCAGGCACCAGTTGCTCTTGTTCCGATCCATTCTTGATGAAAATACGGCGGTTCAGGCCAATGATCACACTCAAGCGTGTCTTCGCATTGATGGGAGCTTCGTAGGTCAATGGACTGGGAATGTCAGCTTCGGGAATTGCCTGAGGGAAAAAGCACATACAATCAGCACAGCCAAAATACTATAACACAAAACACTAAAACACAAAGATTGTTGACCGGAACTGACATTGTAGACAATAACAATGTGCCTCAAATTTCACTGCTGCTGCGCTTGTTTCTTTCTTTGCTGGTTGCATTCCAGGTTCAGTCTTTGGTCCT